CCCCCCCCTACATCCTCTCAGTACCCCTCCGTCACCTTTCACCTTCCAGTTTCGACTTCTTTCAGAAACGTAAATCACCGTTCATTTCCCTTTACTTACTCCTCTTCTGCCAACTCTAGTCCGTCTTTCCCTTTATTACCTTTCAAATACTTACTCCCCTTAATGGGTACGTGAGAGAAGATTGGGTTGATATGAGTACAGTCGAATCAAAATACGACAATAGGGAAGTTTTAGGTGAATTTTGAAAGATTGTGAATAATCTAATATAGTCGTATAAGATCGTCAGGTGGCACGAAAACTTATATCAAGTAAAGTAGGTACACAGAAACACGCGTTGGTACTACTATTCCCCCGTCGTAAACAGGAGACGACGACTAGTTCCAGACATAACTCGCCAATTAACGTTTCTTTAAGTTAAGTAAACGCTCACCCTTCATGTACATGACAGCTTGTAATTACTTCTTACGACTCCATTAGCACGGGACCTTGTCGCCCCTGAACCAGGCAAAACTTAGGGTGTACGTGCATTTACTCGAGCCAACCGGAATTCACACACACACACACCACACACACACCACACCACACACAACACACCACACCACCCACACACACACCACACACAAACACACACCACAACACAACCACCACCACACACACCCACACACACACACACACCCACACCACAACACACACACACACACACACACACACACCACACACCACCAACACACACACACACACACACAACACACACACACACACACTACACACACAACTAAACGGATTAGAGAAACTGACACCGATTTATATACCAGGGACACTTACGTTGAAAATGGAATAGCAGACAAATCAGGACATAGTTCACAAACAACACAGAGTCACCTCTCGTAAACTTATTAGCACGGTATTTTATTATGCACCCGCGATACTAAGTCGTCGTACCGACTACAAGGCTCCCGACTACACTTCCGTTTGACTCTCCGTATTTTATACTTTCCGGTGGTGTCTGAAAAGTCTCTTTGTTTATGTGAGAAGTACCTGTGGCTCGCGACTATACGGGTTAGTCACACAAGGAGAGCAACCATCAAATTAATCCTTTTAGTGTGAGACACAAAATGCGAGTACCGCGATTGTTCTCGGGGTATTCTCCTTCCTACACAGGTTAAAGTCAATAATAGAAAACATCTCGGTTTCTTCCTCTCAGGTGAGTGTGTTTTTTCCTGAGAGCGTCATGGCGATGGAGCCTTAAAAAAGAGATGATACTGCCTACAGCGTGAAGAAAACAGCTCTCCCATTATAACAGTGCTGATGTCTACTGCTGTTGACAGAGCAGAGGCCCACTGTAACATGAACACACACACACACACACACACATTCAACTGACAAGCCCTCAAACACGCGCACAGCGATGTACAGTATACGTGAACGGATTAGAACAGAGGCATGGTTACAGGTGTAATCATGTGTGTTTCCCTCCTGGGTGCACCCGACCTTTCACATGCCTCCTTTTCCAAACTCTCACGCAGGGACCTGACCTGTTTTCTGTGCCTACAGAGGAGCCGCTAGCGTTTTCCTAACATTGCTCATGTTTACATGCACATGAAAAATGCGATCATGCTGCCACTGAGGGGAAAAGTGCCTACAAACAGAAGTTTGCATTCAAGGCTGCTTAAAGGTTGTGTGACGCTTTAAGTAGCACAGCTGGAAATACGTCTCTTAAAGGAATACAACTCTTATTTGTTTTTATTTGTCATACTTACTGATACTAGTGTGAGTAGATAAATGAAAGTCAAAAGCTAAGAATATACCATGTTTGCTCGCGACATGAGCGCTGACAGCTATGTCTTGTATTACAGGTATACATCACTGTAAACACAGGAGTGGACAGATACTCACCACTGCTGTTTCTCCTGCTTCTCTTGTTTTTTACTCTCACACACCACTGTTAGTCCCCAGCTAGAAACACACAGACACACACACACACACAGAAAGAGGAAATTAACAATTATAAACGTCCCAGAGATGATGATTATTGTATTGAGTCTGCCCTCTAGTGGTCATTCTGTTAAGAAGTCCCCATTCACTTTTCCAGATGAGGCAACAGATCCAAATGTTGGAATATTAATTATTAAAGTTTATAGAAAATTCCTTTAGATCATTTCCCTCAAGAGTAAATGGGGCTATACAAATGTTTTTCAGTTTGTGTTGTTTTAAAATGATTCATTGTGACGTTAGCTCAGGATGCGGTTGTCATCTTTTTTACAGCTCTCGCGATTCACAGCAGCCACTTGTTGTTTTCGTCTCAGTAAATGTGAGGAGGATAAGAAGTGACATCAGTGCTACACGACATGTGCTCACCATGTAGGAGGACGGAGTTTCTTCTTAATACCCAGGTAGACCTTTAAGCTTTTCACCGCCCAATCACGCTCTGGACGGTTACTCTGAGGGAGACAGAAGGAAAGTGTGAAAAGCTGTGACATTAAAAACATGTCAGAGTTGAATTGAATCTATTCATCTTACTCTGACTTCCTTGTACATTCTGAGAGAGCTGGAATTCAGGATGAAGTATCGGTCGTGGAAACTTCCAGAGGACAGTCCCAATCCCAAGATGCTTCGCTCCTCTCTGAATTTCATCATCCCGTGTTTGGATAAATCCACTTTGCTGGCTGGAGGGCAGAATGAACGATTACAAAGAACTCAGAAACTCAAAGAGGAAACATCTTGTTGGCAGCGGGTTTGCGTGTTTACCCAGGTACACCATCATCGCCTCCATAGCCAGGTGTTTCTTGATGAGCAGATGGGAGTCGGTGCCAAAGGAGTGAAGGATGGGTAACACTCGCTCCTGATAGTGCAGTGGGCGTTCTGAGGGAGCAATGACAATAAACACAGGTTGATGTTTATGAATCTGAAGAATCCTCAACATGTTTTCACCTCACAAATCTCAGGTCAACAGGTTGAGCTTTTGACAACCTGATTGACAATTTTGTAGCTATGAAAACATGTTCTATTTAAGCAAACAATTGCAAATGTCGCTTCAGATAAAGGCAGCCGATTGAGCTCTCCCGCCTACATACTAAACTTGAAAGAGCTTTTGTAATCCAAAGGTGACATCTGCAGTATAGAGATTATAACAAGAATTCCCCCCTGCTCTTCTCGTCACTCTTTCCCGCTACCTGTACCATTCCTTCTTCACCATCAGTTTGTTGGGAAACCTGCCAAGTTAGGTTAGTTTTACTGGCATCCAATAAACCACCTACGGGCTTCCCGGTGGGTAACCAGCTGGCCTACATACCAGGCTCAAAACAAACCACGACACATTCACGTTAATGAGAATGATCTTCCTGCCTCTGGAGTCTGTGTGTCACTTTGTGTAGGTCACGCTGGGGTTGAGTGGAGAGCACTTCACAAGCTTTGCGCCATTGTTTTTATTTTGCTTAGGGCCCATTTTGTATCTTTGATATTCATTTTAAAGAAATGTAACTTCTTAACCAAGTGGGCAGGAATCTGTACCTAATGTACAAAAGTGTATACAAGCAATATATTTGAGAGACGCATTTGTCCTCTCTTTCTCACCCATTTCCTCCTTGTCGCTGACCTCCCAGCAGTTCCAGTACTCTTTGTCTTTAACCCGGATGTTACGCCGGTCCAGGACCTCACAGGTCAGCTCTGCTGCTGTCATAGAACCAGGGATCTGAGAGACGACGTAACACAATTACTCCTGAGAATAATTCTCCTTAGAAAGTGTGGCTAAACACTAATGTAGGCAGTTGTTATCACCCTGGGTCACGAGATAAGTATTGGGCAGGAATGTGAAATGCAAAGCAATGTTGTGTAATTTGGAAAAGGTCCAGGTCACCTTGACATGTTGCTCTGCTGTTTCCTTCTTTTCCTCCAAGTACACAGTACAGATGAAGTGCCCGCCAGGTTCAGTACTCTGAGTGTCCGGTACGCATGAACACAAACACATACACAGGCAGACAGAAAGGGTCAGACAGAATGATAACAGCATTAGGGCAACAAATAACAGAATGCATTAATGTCCAACTGCAGCACACATCTGCATGCATATACGTGTGAGAACAACACCGGAGTGTTTTTGCGAGATAGTGTGTGACTCACGGGAAACTTTGTGTTGAGTGTCTCTCGCACTTTGATGATGACAGTGATCTCTTCCAGCTGCTTCTTAAGCTGCTGCTCATCCACCTGCAAACAAGTATACACACATTTACTCACACATGCAACTGAATCAAATGTCAAATGATATAATACTTGAATTGCAGCGTCAAGCCATTCTTTAGATCTCTGGTTGCAACTCCCTTGGCATTTCATTTCCCAATTTTAGGCTTAAAATGATGAAATAGGACTGTTATCTGTTTCTCAAAGTTGTTGGAGCTTAATCTTGCAGCCCATATGATATTTCATGTTCGTTGACATCTCACCCTTTCATATCTTTTGACTCATTGTTGTGTCTGCAGTTTTCTGATACCATCACTTCAGATAAATCAATCAGCTTAGAGAACAAACTGTTTTGCCCTCCTGTCATCCCACATGCGAACAGTGAGCAGTGAGTCTGACCTCAAAGATGAGTGTGTAGTGCTGTATGAGGTCCTCTACGGCGCGGCCTGCAGTGTAGTCCTTCCCGTCCGTCTGGAAGAGTGTGGGGCCGAACACTATGGCCAGGTTATGGAGGTTCATCTGGTTCAGCTCAGAAAAACGCTGCACGCTGAAACACATTCGGGGAAAACACACATGGGTATTTGCAAACAGACATGCACACAGATACCAGATGATACTCTATCAATGTGTGTTTGTGTGTGTTTCTCACCAAAAGAGATGGTTGATAAGGGCTTGTAGTGTAGCCTTGTTGACACGAGGAAGTCTTTTCAGCAGCAGCTGGAACTGGGAGATTTTCTGGCTTTCTTCCTGAATGCCTTGAGTAAGAGAATAAAAGAGGAGAAGGAAAGATAAAATCATGAATACAGAGGGGTTTTAAAAAGAAGCAAGATCCCAGAGTGTCAGGAAGAGTATGACAACCAAAGGGAGAGAGAGAATGAATTTGTGGGAGAAGGGGATAGAGATATAAAAAATGAGGACAGAAACAGTGAGAGAGAAATGAAAAAATGTTTGCCTGTGATCTCACATGCACACAAGTTCAAACTTTTGAAAATCATGCTCAACATGATATGAAACAAGATGTCACGCAGTTGCAGCCTCTCTAGGAAACTGCTTCCAATATATTTAAGAGTAGTACAAAAAACAACATTCAAGAGTTTGACTGAACTTTCTTGATGTGAAAAGACTTTTTGAACAGTTTATTCCCCCTTTACCTACATTTAAGTAAACAGACATGCAACATGAAGTCTGTTGGGAATACTTCTTTGGTAGAAAGAAGTCCCTTAAGTGTTAAGACGGTAAAACAGTCCAGAGCGAGGAATGTGGAATATCCTAAAAAGACTAGACGTATCCCTTTTTCACCTCCATTATATTGGAGAGGAACCAAATGTCTAACAGTATCTTCAAACCTGATAAAATAAACATACATATATTCGTAAGGCTGGATTGGTTTAGGAAAAAAATGTTTTTAAGAATAAACCCATCCCGAAATCACAACTTCACTAAACTGCAGTGCACAACAACCATCTTCTGAATCTTACCAGCAGCACTTAGCCAGGCTTTGGATTCCTCTGACGTGAACAGCCCCTCCTCTAAGTCCCTGAAGAAGCGTTTGAGTGTGGTGGAGACGTCGTCCACCTGGTGCTCTCCTTCCCTCAGACGAACACTGCGGGCGTCACGGTGAAATCTCTCGCACAGCGCGGCCACACGAGAGTTCACACCGCTCTTACGATATATCCCCTCAGAGGTCAAGCCTAAGAAAAACAAAACAATCACACACAAAAAACATATTGTTAGAAACACAGGCCATTGTCGATACCATAAGAGAAAGTACACACTGTTACAACACTGATTATTTAAAAAAACCTTGTTCCTTCAAGTTGATAGTCATATTTCTGCTTAAACAGAACAGCCGAGTTTACATTTAGGATTGTAAACTGAAATCATGATACAAAACAAAGATGGACAGCATGTATAAAGTGTATTCCTCCTCAAAACTAGACTTATTTTGGGGTAATAAGAGGATCAATGCATAATATTGTTGCAACATTAGAGATTGGTCATGAGGACAAAATATGTGGTTATTAGATTTGTTATTGTTTTATGCAAATTGCTGCTGCTGTATTGTTTTTAAAAGACTAATACTTTGATGTTCCTATTCAGTGACGTCAAATAATGTGTATTCAAACATTATTCTATCAAAAATAAGACAAAACTGCAAAATATCTGCAAATACATTGTTAATAGAGGGGCCATCACTAAAATATGTTTACAATTTTGTGTCAGTTTGTGTCAAATTAGAAAATAAAGAGCCTGGGGTGTGAACATTTGCAAGGCATTTCCACTAGAGGGGTTCTGGCTCTGCTGCTTTACAGTATGTAGCAATGAGTCATGACTAAAATCCTGTTTCAACCAAGTGTGTGATTTCTCAACTGAGGCTTGGTCACAGTGTAGTTCCTTTATGACAGACCTGTCAGGACAAGATGATGTGGGCCAAGTGACTGCAGTTCCTCATATGGCTCCTAACACCAATAACAAGTCACTGTTTAAAGGGTTCCAAGAACTTAATAACGCCAAAAAGGATGGTAATGCAAATGTGTCAAGGTGAATGACCATTATCAGCTCATTAATGGGGAAATGAGGACAGTTGCCCTGGTTTCCCAGAAAGCTGACCAGAGGGATTAACATCTCAGACAGAAAGTAGAGGATATCAGCAAAATGAAGCCTGCCTGCCTGCCACACACACACACACACACACACACACACACACACACACACACACACACACACACACACACACACACACACACACACACACACACACACACACACACACACACACACACCTTGAAGTCCGTTGGGCTGAACTCCTGCCATTATAATCACATGAGGCCAAACACATAGAAAGCGCCAAGTGTGCACACACACACACACAGTAAGGCCCTCAAAAGACCAAAATCACATACAGTACAGCAATGTAGACTGTGTACAAGTGAATATATTCCTGTGATGTAAATGAAAGCAGAGCCAATGTGTGTGTCAAAGATAAGGAGCATGGATGTGTGCATTTAGATGAGTGTGTGCCTTTGGATGTTGACACAGTGAGCAACAGAGAGAATAAGGTAACTCTCTAAATGGCCGTGTCTCACCGCACTGCGTGATGTAGCCGATGCAGCTGTGCACCATGACAGGTATGTCTGTCTCCGTCAGCTGCTGCTGGCTCAGTGTGTCTCCTCCACTCCCCGCTGCTGCCTGGATGGCCGTACACCAGCCGGCAAAATCCAACTTCCTCTCACCCTCTATGTACAAAGTCCTGCATAAAGAGAGAGAGAACGACAGAGGAGAAAAGGGAAGGGATAAAGAGGGAATATAACATTCAGAAAGAGAAGAAAAGATGGAAAAAGAGCATGGGAGTAAGGGGGAACACGTTGAAAAGGTGTACGGACGGTAGCAATAAAGAATACATTTTTGTGTTTTGACATTTGGGAACAGGTTGTGAAGTCAAACACTGGAGCAAACATTTATTTAAACTATCACTATTGTAGCAAACCCAATGAACCTGATATCCCCGCTCACCTGCCTCTCTCCACCAGAACAAGCACCTCATTGTCTTGTTGAATTGCTGTGAGACACAAACACGGAGGAATCATTTATTATTCACAGTATGCCTGTGCGTCAAAATACTGTATCTGATATGTTTCTTTCTGGTTTCTTTTCAAATGACTGTTCTGTCAAGAATCCTTCGGAGCACACTTCCCTTTCACTATGTGTACACAGTATAGTATGTAGTAAAAGTGCTGTTTGTGTGCGTATTTGTCTGTATGTGTTTTACTCACAGAGCTCATTCAGTTTGCGGAGGTGGATCTCCTCTCCCTGGCTGTCCTCCAGGTAGGCGTGAAGTGTGGAACCCACCAGAGCAAACCAGCCCACCTTGGATGTTTGCAGGTTCAAGCCGTCTTTACACTTCAGCCGCCCAATCCGCTCAAAAGCTAACCTCAGCAGCGGCTCTGCAGAGGCCGGGATCAGGCTCTACAAACAAAACGGGGACATTACGGCTATGTAATACATTGCACATTATTTATTGTTTCGCTCCTCTTTTAAAGAGGATTTAAGCACTTCAGCCTGAGAAAACCAATACTAATTAAATTGTGAAAAAAGGTTAAAGCTCTTGTAAAGTACTTCAATGGTATGAAAGGATAATGTGTCTTTGTGGCTAGACATTCAGGAGCCATGGATATTCTGTCCATCTACCAACTTGGCATTTGTGTTTTTAAATTCTCAGGTAAACAGAAACAGCCAATAGATGCAATTTAGGCAATCCAGCATCTTGCATATCATTTAAAATGATAGGTTATGCATGATTTTGAGCATGTTTTTACAAAAATAGTACAGTACTATGAGTCAACCTTACTCTTATACTGCACTGACTTCCAGTAGTTTCAGCAGTAGTTGCTTTATTTTACATCATCATGCAGCTGACCATTATATCAGCTGTAAAGAATGCTGGAAAATAAGTGACAAAGGGAAAAAGTCACAATTCACTAGCCCTGTCCTGATCACTATGCAGCCTGTAACTACATTTTTCTTTTAAGCATCAGAGCTCTGCAATTTCACTACAGAAAATGAATAACTAGGGTTCACCTAGGGAGAAAAGAAACAGAAGGATATGATTGAGGGTCTAGAAAATACATGTTTTGGTGGTTACCCTGGCAATAGACTTGACCCATTCCTTGTGGCCGTCTGGGTCATCAGTGCCGAACAGATAGAGACGCTCTGACTCAGAGTACAGTTCAAAGGTGTGTTCATACCTGATGGGTTTGAAATAGGGGTTAGGAGAAATTGATACAGAAAGTGATATATTGATGTGATACTGTAAAAGATGTAATTTTGTGTAAAAAAAATGGTCATGCCAGACGTGTATTTGGTTTCACCTGACAGATGAATATGTACAATAACACGCGTATTCAGTTTTGGTTATGCATATTATTTCAGTTTGTATTTACTAAAAGTAATTTAATACAGACATTAAAATGAAGGGGTAATGGATTGGTGTGTGTGTGTCTGTGTGTGAGTGTGTTGAGTGTGAGTGTGAGTGTGTGTGTGTGTGTGTTGAGTGTGAGTGTGAGTGTGTTGAGTGTGAGTGTGAGTGTGAGTGTGAGTGTGAGTGTGAGTGTGAGTGTGTGTATGTGTGTGTGTGTGTGTGTGTGTGTGTACCCATGTCTATAAGGTGGGTCAACAGCCAGACAGACAATCTCTGAAGCCTTCAGAGCTCCGTTAGGGTTTGAGTTCTTGTCACTCTCATAGTAGCTGTAGGTGCCATCATTGAGCGTGCACCAGCGACGACTGAACTCTACATGAAGGGAACAATAGAGATGAAGAAATAGAGAGAATATGAATAATTATAATAATACAAATGACTGCAGTTGCCTCCATCAAGGATGTTACATTTTCTGTTCACAAGCCAAGGACAACAAATAAACACTTTAAAGTTGCAAAATAGGGCTTGAGGCGTCAGCAGAGGTCTGTTCTCTGGGTGCCATTTTAACTTCATTGTGTGCTAATAAAGAAGCCAATTTTTTAACTGACGTATGACTAAGAAGATGGCTTCACAACAAAAAAGAGACTAGGATATGATGTCCATGTGTAATTTTAATATACACAAGAACATTCTTTCGAAATTATTTTTGCGTTGTTTTGTATGTTTAGATGTTCATCTGTGGCTTTCATAAGCTTGTAAATGGAGAAAAATAAACAAAATGAAAAACATTGAATATGAATTATTATGTGTTCTTTTTTACTGTGTAAGTAAGTGTTAGTGTTGGATATTGTGTGTAAATACCCTCTTTGGCCTTGCGCTCTGTAATAGCCCGGGCCATGGATGCAGTCTTGAAAAGGAAGCCATTGTGAGACACACAAGGTGCTGGCAAGTAAGGTCTCGTGTCCATGCCTCCACCCGGCTCTGACCGTGGTAGTTCTGCAGGAGAAAAAAAAATACAATTATTTTATTGGAGAAAACCTAGAACATACTGTACAGACTGTCATTTACTGTACAGACTGTCATTTACTGAGAATCTATCTGAAATAGGAGAAGTGCATCTCTTAAAGTTAAATGGAAAATGTTATACATCCCAACACTCCTTGGTATGACAGGAATGTGGTTATGAAACATTAAGGAAGTATAAGGAAGGTGCGCTCAACTCTCATACCCTTAAAATATACAAATATTAGGCCTACAGAACATACAGTATAAAGCAAATCATCATGGATTTAATCCACATACAAATACTGTATGCATCTTATCTGTCTTTAATAAATAGTTTGATGAGTTAAAAAAAAAGCTGTATGTCTTACTGTACCTGTGTTGAGGTTGTGGCTGATTAACTCCGCCTGTAGGGGCTGTGTGTGTGTGGTGGCTAGGGAGAGAGCAGAGGGCGAACTTGGCATTCCAGTTGGACAATTTACATCTGCACCACAGAAGATCAGGCTCAACGTCTCCAGCACATCACTGCCCTGCACATTTATAAGAAGAGCCTGGAGAAAAGGAGAAAAGAGGTAAAAATCAAAACAAGATTAAATTCTCATGTACAGAAATTGCAGATGGAGACAACGATGTGTTGCTCATGCAGGTCAAGGGCAGATTCAATATGTAAAAATACTATCTAGGCCTGGTGAAATACATACTAAAGGATCATATCAGATGTCAAATTAGCATATTTTTTCAATTGAATAGAATTACAAAATCTTAAATGGCCAAAAACTGGTAAGACAAAAGAGAGAGACACTTTAACAACACTATTAAACCACTGTCTGGTTTGTAAGGGAAAATGCAACAGAGTGGGAAAGGGAGATAACATGACAGAGAAAGAAAGAGATAAAAAACGCTAATGAGTAAGAATGATACTAAACTGATGACTTCTGTTATTTGGTCCTGCAGCTGCTGACCTGGCTTTAATGATACCATGTCCTCTGGCAGCTTGATTTCAAAGGAAACAGCTGAGGTCAAACTCAGTGTGTGTGTGTGTGTGTGTGTGTGTGTGTGTGTGTGTGTGTGTGTGTGTGTGTGTGTGTGTGTGTGTGTTTTTTTTTGTTGAGGTTGGTTCAAACCTGGAGCAGGCCCTGTTGTTCCATAACCAGAGTGTGCAGCTTTCTGATTGGTTACTTTGGTCAGTACCTGTCAACACCGCTATGCCTCTGCCAAGTAGAAGATATGCAGTGTGTCTTGTTTGTTATGTTTTCTTTAAATATAAAATGTAATTATTTGGGGATTTATAGGACCTGTGGAGGGTATTATTATTATTATAAAACTTCCAAATGTTAATAATTTCTAATTTCATTTGCTGATTCCACTCTAAATCCTCTGTATGCAATTTTAATAACAAAGTAACCTGGAGCCATTTTATAGTGATTGGTCAGTAAGTCTCCAAGCTTTATTTTAGTGGAGCACTGGTGAGCTGACACATATTTGAGAGCTGATGAAAAGCTAACTCATGTGGTCTTATAAACTTGTGCTGCTCTTTGTGTGAGGCACAATGCAGCTCATGTACTGTAGGTGGTATTGAAGTGTTACATTTACTGATATTTCCCCCTTTGTTTTACTAAAGGAACTAAAAGGGTATTATCAATATTTCAACTGGATCCAATTGAATTAAAGTCATATGACCAAAAACATTGTGGGCTATAAAATAGTCTCACACATATCTGCGGAGAAACAAAAAAAACAATAATTGACATAAGTTGAAAAAAGAGAAAAAACTTAAATGAAAGGAATCTCTTAAAACAACAAACAACTATTTAAATTCCTATTAGAGGATTATCATCGCCATAAAGAGATTATTTACTTTTCAACCATGTGATGACTAACAAACACAGATTACTGTACCTGACAAGAACTACATTGTTGTCGAGACTGATATTATGTCCAAATATTGTACACTCAAATGTAAGGGAAGTAGGGGGAGGTGCAATAGGAAAGATGTTGTGACTGAGTGAAGGAGGATGCAGTGTTTTCACAGCTGAGGAACTCAACTTAGACTTACGCAATTACACACAAACCCATGTGGCCACATTGTCTTCTGTTAAAACCAATAAGCTCTCTTGGATCTGAAATTCCACAGCGCTCTGTCACACACACAGACAGAACCCCTCCTCTATTTGAGCAATTTGTTAAGCCCACACACACACCAACTGCAATTCTGATCAATTCAATTTTAATGCACCCCATTTTAGAACAGTCTCCTCGAGTGGATCATATGGTTGCAGCGATAAGGCTGTTTTTTGGGCTTGGGAATCAATGTTACTCTAAGTTTTCATTGCTTTTAGCAGCTTCATAACATTTACACGAGGAACAAATAATACAGGTGTCGTTTTCAGGCACACTTAAACATACAACTTGTGTCTAAAAATGCAGATGACCAATTAAAAGTCATAATAATGTGCTGTAATTAGGCTTTTAAAACCAAACTCACATAGACACTTATAAGTAAGAAAATATTGCTCAAGTAATAATGTTCAAGTTTTATCCTGTCCTTTTATCTTTTTTAAATAACTTTGTCTAAATCAGCGACAATAGGTAACAGTGAAACACCGGGTTGAGAAGGTTCAATAGATTTAATTCAGTCTGTAAATCGACAACATGAAACTGTAGGAAAAGTCCCAGCATGTTGGCAGCATCATCTTGGAATCCTGGATCAAAGGGAAACAATATGCTGCTGATCACTGGAGTCAGTTTGACGGAAACATTTGTTTTGTTTTCACCTTTTTTCTGTTTGGATATGGCATTGCACTTTCTATTTTCCTTTGCCAGAGACTTATTAACTATATATATTTTGCATCCTTCTTTTCTTTTGCTTGAATATCCTATACAATCTTTTTTTTCCCAGGGGAACAACTCAACTAATATGATGACTAGCTCAAATGTGGGAATCTTGTACACTACAATACAACCTGGTGGTTTTAGCCTGCTCTGTGGCACTCGGGCTATGAGAGAACAGAAGCCCATTTGGTGACTCCAATTTTATTAACTATAACCATCAAATTGACCGGCCACAAAAGCCAATACTTCAGATTAATCCCTGCAGGCTAACATTAGCCGCGATGCTACGAGCTGAGCCACAGCAAAAATATACTCTAATTTGACCGCAAGCACAATGCAGTTCAAGGAGAGTACCTTGCTATAGACAAGTAGTGTGTGTGTGTGTGTGTGTGTGTGTGTGTGTGTGTGTGTGTGTGTGTGTGTGTGTGTGTGTGTGTGTGTGTGTGTGTGTGTGTGTGTGTGTGTGTGTTGTATGTAGGTCAGTGTCCGGTAAGGAATCAATAGCCTAACCATGTGCATTCTGACTAAGGGAACCAATCAGAACAAAGTACAACAAGGAAAAGGGTGTTTGAAGACCTCACGCCCTCCAACATCTGCTGTCTATGAAACAGGGAGTAATGTAATCACACACACAGACACAGAGAGAGAAGGAAAAAGAGAAGAGAAGGGAATTCTAGAATCCTTCCCAATTTCCCCAGAGAGTGAGAAAGAAAGAGTCCGAGAGATTTTATCTGGGTGTGTCTGAAATCACTGGCCTCCATCTGGCCTCCACAGTTTAATGGGACGGAATCTAAGTAAGCAATGAGAGGTACAGAAGAAAGAAAAATATTGTGAGAAGAAGATGAAAGCGTTTTGAGGGGCACATTAATCAGACCCTGATTGTACTTGGCTACAAACTGGACATAACACACTCAGACCTCCTATGCACAGACGCACACATGCAGCCCACTCTGCTTTGTTCATTTGAGCATATAGCGAATGTTCAACAAAAAAACACACATTTCTACATGTGTGTATGCACGTCCTTGTATTAAATGAGAAGCAGATATCCACATATGTTCCGTCATTACATCACCAGGGACAGAGAGGGAGATGGGGAAGGAGGTGGAGGTGAAAATCCAGACAGATGGTAAAGGGAAAGAGAAGAGTATGAATATATGGCATAGAGGAAAAACAGAAAGGCAGACACACAGAAAAAGGCTGACAGATAGGGAGGAAAAGAAAATCATTTGGAAATACACAAGACAGCAGATTCCATCACGCAGTACAATTGAACATGTTTTATGACTTAAAACCCTAAAGTGTGAATGTTGAAATGAAGGGACTAAGTTGGAAGGTTTCTTATTTTATGGAAGTCACTTTCCAAAACTATAAAAAGCATAAATACAGGCCCATAAAAAAGTTTAACTACTGCCTCTCAGCTGAGTCTGCTTGCTATAATAAGTAACGAAAACACGCTGAACGTCACTGACATAAAGTCAACATAGACACAACTCAAGAAGAATGGGAGTAGCCATAGGTTGTGGTTGTTCAGGTGGGAAGATATTAACTCATACTATGCTTATAACAAACATGTGATGTTTAATATAAAGTGGGATCAGTGTATGGATTTTAGACTCTTTGGAAAAACATACTTTGTCACTGCATCTTTTCTTGCACTTTTAAAAGTAAGCAAGTCAAACTTGGCACAATCATACTACAAAGCTGCCACACTTCCCTTTGTGTTTCACAACTTAACGCAATACCGTAAATGTCCCTGCCAATCATCTTTATGCTCCACCCAGTGCTCTTTGGCTTCTTTGCTCTCTCATAAACAAAGGGGGGGAGGGTGGGTTGTTTGATAAGTTAATCAAGAGGCTTTGAGGGAAGTATTATAATAAGACACCATGAAGTAACACAGGCTCATGGCTGGCCATTCTACACAGTATATGTTTGGTGTGTAAAAGTTGATGTTGAAATATTTCCTCATACAAACTTGTTTTTGCAAGAGAATATGAAACCCAACTATTGAATGAAAGGCTGTTGAAAGCATCAATAGTTGACTGCCTAAAAGAGAGAGGCAAAGAGAGGGGGGACACAGAGCAGGAGGGGATTGAGGGAGACAATGATGCCCATTGACAGAGGTGAGCCTATCATCTCGTACACAGCACACACACACACACACACACACACACACACACACACACACACACACACACACACACACACACACACACACACACACACACACACACACACACACACACACACACACACACAAAAGGCACAGAAACATGACTACACACATTCAAATGCATGTTAATGTATCTCCACCCACTCCCAGTGGAAAGCATACACACAATAACTCTTATGTGCTCGCTGACATAGATCAACAACACAACAGTTCTTATAGTCTCAAGATAAAACTATGCCACACAAATACATGTAAATATGTGTTTGTTTTAGAGCACTGAGCTCATATACAGTGCTGTCAGAGATCCAAAGTCCATTGACACACATTTCTGAACTAACACTACCCTACAATCCTTAAAACCCACTGAAATAATTCACAAATACACACAAAATACTTTCAGTACTGTTTCCTACAGCTCACACACACTTACTTGTAGGTTTTCAGTTCCCTTTAATCTCTCCTGTGTCTTAGTGTCAGTTTGGAGGCACGAAAAGTAGCGAATGGCAAAAATAAAATCAGTTTGAGATGCTTGAGTCGAGCAGGAAAGTTAAGAAAAGCAGCCAGGAGTGGAGAGATCAACTTTCTTCTGCAGTCGCAGCCAAACAATGAGGAGGGGGAGAGGGGGGAGGCGGAGTTACAGCACATTCCAGCTACAGCCGTGAGTAATGATGTCACATTCAGAAAAAAAGAAAGGAAAAACAAAGAAGAAAGGAAACAGAAGTGGAGGTAAAAAGCGTGCAATTGATAAATAAACCTGAGCCAGAGACACTCCAGTACTCACACAGGACACACACGTCTGTTTCTCTCTACTTTTCACACAAACACACACACATACACTGTCTGATTGGCAAAGCCTGTGCACACAACTACTTAGCTAACACAAACACATTGTAGAGTATATTCTTTCTTAAGACACACCCAAGTCAAATGAATAGCAACGCAGAAGTGAGGGAAGCAAAGCATTTGGATTTAAGAAACAGGTAGAGCAGCATCTGTTTAAAATGAGAGGCAGTTAGTTCTCCTACAGGGAGACAGAGAACTGGTCACATTCTCAAATAACGCAGAGAGAGATAACCATCATGGAGGACGACCTGCAGCAGCTCAATGAAAATGGTTTGAAACAAAACAAGCAATAATTGGTATAGACAATAAGAAAACATCCTTTATCTCCTTTTGCACTTCCCAAACATAGTGACTCACACACAGGCTAGAACGCTTCAGGGAGGAAGAATAGAAGTCAGTCAGGTGTCTAATGTGAATCACGCGCACACACATACACACACACACACACACACACACACACAGTCGTTGAGCAGTCCACAGTTTGCGGTAAGTGGGTTAAGCAGCTAATGAATGAGCAAGCAGGGGCTGACACACTGACACATTCACCACACACAGCGGAGCACAACATAAAACCCCCGAATCTAGCAGCACGGAAACAGCCCCCAGGGTCCTACTTCTGACTTTTACTGACCAACTTTATCACTTTGACAGGGCAACGGTTCCCACATTAACAAGGACATATACACAGGTAGTGCATCCTGAGAGGGCTCTTGTCTACAGGTACTGTAATTCCTCCCTTCTTTGTAATGTCTGCCCTACATTGCTGATTCTCTTACAACACTAGTATGAGCTTATATGTTTTGCAAACTATGGTGACTCAGAGGCATGCCAGGAATTCACAGGAGATAGTTTGTAAAAAATAAAATAACGCTCCTATTACTCTAATAGGAGCGATGTTTAGCTTGTCTCTTGATGTAATTCATTCTGATTAATGCATTCAGCCGACTGTGCTTAACATGTAAGCTTTTTTGCAATCTAAAAACCTGCGTTTCTTCCTCCTACCGTGAGTTCAATTCAGTCTCATGGATGCCCCACTTTGAGTTCAAGTAACAAAAGCAGCTTGCTAAAAAAGGAGAAAACATCACGCAGTGAAAGAGTTAACTTTAGACTGGCTACTTTATTGTCACTGACTGGAAAATGTGAGACAACACACTTATTTTGGACTTTTATGATGAGTTTGATGAGGGATTTAACAGATGCTTAAATTAATGTTGACTCTTAGAAGGTTATTTACATATACACATACACAGCGATTTACTTATTTGTTCTGCATTCTTTTGAACTGGTCTCACAGGAATAGCTGCTTTATTGTTCCTCTTTCTTTCAGTGAATCAATCTGACAGATTAATAAAAAAACAGTCATGACATTTCTTTATTCTTGGAGTCTTACTCATGATCTGATTAGTAAACACTCAGATGTATGGTGTATGCTGTTTGTGTATTGCAGTGCAGAGTTCAGTCACAACTCAACCTGTTTGAGACATACGCACACAGCTGCAGGAAAAAAAGTCTTAAAGGACTGACTGTGTTGTGTGTAAAAGGGAGTTGTAAGTAACTACATTCAACCGTACCCTTCAGAAGACACATAAATGATAATAAGGTCATCATGATGGGATAAAGGCTATTGTTTAGTGTCATGATTTGAAATGATTTAGATTCTCATGGTCATGATTTGGTTGAAAACATTACAGAGGCTGCTGATTTCAGGAACTATTTCAGGTCTGCTTTACGCTAATACATAAGGCATTGTAGCAAGATATATAATGAAAGCAGATTAAAGTGTTAATCAGCTTATGGAGTTTCTATTTATTTAAATGTTATATAAAGTTTTTGCCATAACAAAGGCGAACCAAAGACAAAAGGTGACATTCATTCATGCTAAACTTGCACGAATAAACACTAAAAAAAGCTGTTTGTATTTTTCAATACTCAGTGACTTAAAAAAGCTACATGAAAATTGCTGCCTGTTACATAAACTAAATTAGAGGGCTTAGGCTAGCTGACTTTTTGTTCATCAAAACCAAATTGTAGTGGATTGCTATTCTAACCATCTCTAAATCATCCTTATGCACAAAAGCATCTCTTTCTCAAGGTCTGTTGACTAACGGTGACTTAAATGTACAACGTCTTATATTTTATAAATTAAATCTCTATAACCACTGAAAACAATGTGTACTGTATATTCAAATCGTAAACACAGGGGTTACAATCAAAGCAGCGGATTAACACTTACATTGTTGAGCTCTTTCTGGTTTCCGAACAGAGGGTGGTACTTCCTGTATTTGCCCTGCCGGTACTTATTGGTGATGAAGCGGCGTCTCTCCTCGCTGCAGCTAGAGGGGACCAAGGCTTCACTTGGCGGGATGTTAGCTGCCCAGAAACTGTTAACCCGCTCGTTGCCCAGCAACAGGAACACCTGCAACACAGGTAGGATTTAGATGAAGTATTTCCACATTAAGACGAGTAGGAGGCATTTTTGTAGAGGTCAAGATGTGGACCGTCTTTTGACAACATACATGTACAATGTGCAGTTTATCAAGAAGGCTTGTACATTTGTGTTATCATTATTTTCATTGCATTCTATTCAACCATATTTAACCAATGTGTGTGTTAATCAACATAGGAAAAACGAAATATTCAGTAAATCTGCAGCTCTGTCTGGGTTCAAACAGCCATATAGAAAACACAACAACTCTTGAGTGTATATTTGTGCGTGTACCTTTATGAGCTCCTCTGTCCAGACCTTCCTGTCCATCTTCAGACTGCGCACCTTTGAGATGCTAGGACCCAGTCCTCTGTGCTCTCCTGGAACACACCAACATACATTATGAAGACTGTACAGACTGTGTAACAATATTGTTAAATTCTATTGTAACCCCACTTTTAACAACAGGATATTTATTTCATGTCCTTGCAACACATAGCAAAACAATTCATCAATATATCCTCTGTGTTCTAAGCTCATTTTGAAGACATGTATTCGCTGAAGATACTCAAAAACATGCTGACAACAATGTCAAAACTTTGAGAAGCATAATATCTTCACATTGACAAAAGTAGAACACAGAACATCATGGACACAAAAATACACGCATATACACCCCTACCCACACAAACCTGCGCATCGTTTGCAGACCACCACACACAAGTTGATGGCCGCCCATTCTGGCTTTGGAGCCTCACAGTCGGCACAGAGACTGTTGCTAGGCTCCTCCCAGATCCGGTCTGCCACCTCGCTGTTCGACAGAGCCTCACCTATGGCATCACGCATGGAGTCAACCCACTGCTCCCGCAGCTGCTCTGACTCAGCGATGAAACTGCGGAGAGACACAAACACACGGCCGAGTGTTGGTGCCGACATGATGGTGTTGATGACCACCAAATGAATGAAAAGCCTGTGTTTGCTCCGTGGCTGTGAGTTTATCCGTATGCTCGTGAATCCACTGAGAGCTGACTCTAACTCTGCTTTTGTTTTGCTAAATATACTGAAGTCAAAGACTGGAAACTTTATAAACACACACACACACACACACACATTTGTGGCTTGACGCAGTCTCGCATGTCTGAGTTCTTCCTCTTTTCACTGGCTAACAACACAACTGTCTGCGTTCTTAAAACACAGACTTCTTAAACAGCTAGTTTAAAAAATGAACACTTAAAATGCAACACAGTCCAACTCTTATACAAATACACAAGCCTTTTCAGCTCTCCCCATCCTGTCAAGCTGAGCAGTTGCACTGCAGGCTGCGTACTGTCGGCCAAATGACCACACACCACACAAACACAAAATACTTGTGCACACATATCTGCCTCCATTTTCGTCACATACACACACACTCACAGAAAGAGCTTTTCACATTCTCCAAAGATGTCCAGCTGAGGACTGTGAGTGAAGCTGGACGGTGGGAGTTCTCAGTAAAAAAACAGGATCTAATTTCCCTGAGGCACCAAAACCAACTCCACGGTTGACTTTGCAGGAAGTTTGATTTTCTTTTGATCTAAAGTCCTTATGGTAAAACATAAATCCTGTATATAAAAGTATGTGTAAGCACAAGATACTTGCAGAAGGCACATACACAAAGAACACCCAGGTCAGACAAAGAGTTTTACTTTATACACATGAAACAAAGTGACGGAAATTATACAAACGCATACACACACACAGATTTGTGGCTTGATGCAGACTAGCCACATAATGCATATGTCTCCATCCTTAAAGTAAAGTAAACACTCAAATGTCTTAAATTGACCCACAAAGACTCACAAAATGTAAGAGTTTGGATTCTCTTATTGCATTTAAAAAGATATGTTGTGCACATGTAGTACCTGAATATGCGGTACGGTGTTGTAAGATCAAAGCCACGGCGATCTGTTTCTTTAATATTTCCAACATTCATCTCAATGGATGTGATGCCCACTCCTATACGATAGTCCTGCAATAGAAATATTACATTCATTTTAGTGCTTCTTTAAATGTGAAGAAGGCTGAATTAATGTCCACTAGTTTATCTTACATTTTGAGGATGATGTAAGTGTAATTTATAAACTAATATTACACTAATGTAACTTTGTGCAATTCATTATAAAACGGACAAGTCAAATCAAGCAATCTGATTGGTTCTTAGCCGTGATATACTGAGCGTATACCACGGGTAGAATTGTAAGTTACTTTTCACAACAAGTCAGTATCCCTCCGCGTCTGAGAAAAACAGTATACCAATTCAATATAACACTGCACATGATAAAGCCTATGCTCCTAAGATCAATTCTATCTGTTCCCTTTTTGAAAAGGCTAAACACACTGATGTAATGACTGTGTCGAATATGGATAAGTAAATATATTTTACTCAGAAAAACGCTTTATTGCGTGCAGTTTAATACTTCTATAAAGTGTTTTGCACAGGGCTCGAGCTTAAGGACGTCCCGTCGTCCCGGGGCCGAAAAAAATAGTGTCAGGGAGGATAAAAAATAATTTTGGGACGAATTTGGGACGAGAGTTAAAATAAAAATACCCTGCTAACTCTACTACAAACGGCGATGAAAATGAAATCGACTGCACGTTGTGTGTAGCACACAATTATTAAACCTCCTTGTCAACATAAACACACAAAACATTTAGCAACCCGCGAAACACACACACACACACACACACACACACACACACACACACACACACACACACACACACACACACAGACACACACATACGTAAGCTGTGCCCATGTGCTGTCAGCCAGCCGCACAGCTGGCTGTGCCCGCGAATTCCTGGCCCGCAAATTCGCGGGTCTATCTACAGTAGGCTATGTACTGAGTGTGTGTATTTCGCGGGTTGAGTGATGTAAAATGACAATGGTATCCCGTGGAGGAATTCTGAAATGTTTTACCGTTGCATCACAAAAACGCACAGCAGAACCAGACCCTGGAGCGCCGGCCTCTTTATTTACTTACTCCTCTTCATCCCCTATGGGTAATAAGGCTGAGATGAGAACCCTCCATCGTATTTAGTCCTTAGCAATATGCTGCGCCTCTCCCCATGTATGGATGGGTACCGAGCCCCGGTATTAAACGGGCTCCGCCCGGGCCGGAATTATTAAAGACAGTGGTAACGTTAAGCTCCGACGTTATCTGACTTTTTATCGGTACTGGAGACATTTAAAAAAGATATGTCATATGTAGTATTGCTACATAAACATTATATCGCAGTTTTAGTTTATCCAACTCCGTTTCTAATATGCAATAAGACTACAACATGCGTCTATGATGTATTTTCGAGCTTTCCAATCCAGACGAGATCTCTCTCTCCCGTCTGTGTGCGAGGGGGCGGGGCAGTTTGTAAAGGTCGCCTGACTGTGTTCCAGACTGTCCTCCTGGTTAGTGGTTACTCTGGGTTCTGTCTTCAGGACAGAGTGTTGGATTTTTTTTGTTAATTGGATGGGACTTGATTTGATTCAATATTAGTAATTTTCTCGTTTGTGCGTTTGTTTAAATATATTTGGCCTTTGTCATGTGATTGACTGATTTACTCAAATAAAAAGGTTGATGAATTATCATCTAATGATTTGTATGATGTTTTATTTATGTTAAAGGTCACTTTGAATGATTTTAACTAATGATAAGTGGTAGAAAAACTAATATTTTAAATTCGGGACGGTCCACATTAATTTCGGGACGGCTTAGATTGTATTTCGGGACGGTTCCGGGAGGATGGTGAAAAAAGTTAGTCGAGAGCCCTGGGCAGGGTATTGTTTGAAAGTGTTAAAGGCTGAATTGATAGTTGGGAAAGTGGCCTCAGACCCCCAGAGAACACTAGTGACACTATTCTTGCATATCAACTGTTATTTAATTTTCTATCTATATTTATTTATGCATTCAAATGTGATTGAATGCGAATATGTTAGTGATGTTGCACTGAAATAGCACACTGAACAAGATATCCTGAGGAAACGCACTTTCTACAAGTGATTTAAGAAGATGTTTATTCATTTCACATCTGTCTGGAGATGGTTAGCTTAGCATAAAGAAAGTGAGGGGAAAAGCTATCCTTGCTTGGTTTGCAGTAAAATAATGCACCTATAAAGCTCACTACTTAAAACGACTTATACCATAGAAGAGTGGTATATATGTATATATTGTTAATTTAGCTGCAAAAGGAACTACTGTACCTAAATGACAGATGTTATTTAAAAATATATTTATTTATTTATTTTTGACATTTGTTAACATTTTAGTTTGGCCTATGACTAGCTAACAGTTACAACATGTTTAGAAAACACACACAAATGCTAGTAATACCTGTTTCAACAACTTTGTATTCAAAAAATAACACTTAATTATTTTTCGTAATATCACATCCTGAGTTATATAGGCTTCTGATTGTTACACTATTTAAAATCCAACAGGCCTTGGACTCCAAATAAAGCCCCCCCCCAGCGCCTAATATCACAAAGTGTATCTGATTTGAGTGAATTGCACACGTATACCCTAAAATCATATCACATTTACTATGAAATGTACAAAAACGTCTGTTTATAAAACTATTTGGCTCTCCTCACTTTGGTCAGGTTTGATCACTATTTTATAAATGAAATCATATCAAATATGGCGGGTGGGGGGTTAAGGTTTTTGTAGATACAAATAGGAAAGTTTTAAAGCACTAAGTTTGGAGTCTGTGCTCTAAAGCATGCGGACATCCTTTATTCAGGTCTTCAGAATGCTCCGGTACAGAACAATCATCAGCTTACTTTTTATTAAGACTCGTTCCTGTTTTAACATGACAATGCTCCGTGCACAGAGCCAGCTCGTTAAATAAAAGTTCAGTGTGAGAGAACTCAATCTCACACCTCTGGATGAAGCAGTGCCAGACAGCTGTGAGTCAGAAAGAACTGGTGGAGTCTTAAACCATATATTTAACAGATACGGCAGAATATAAAAGTCAGCGGTTCAAACCCTCTGTGTGCGCATGCGTGTGTTGCATCTGATTTGGTGGATTTTTGGTCTCCTTCCTGCACTCCATTATCGTGTTGACCTTTTTTTTTTAGCATTTGTGTTGATGTGTTTTAGAGTTGTTGCTCCCATCCAGTTCTCACGTGTTGAAATTGTGTTTTTTTGCACCTCCCTGCCAGATTCAGCCATTCAACCACCATATTTCCCATCAGCCCCCGCTGCCTGTCATTGCATCACACTTTCATACATCTTCAGCCCTCTGACGTCTTCTCTTTGTTCCAGATTAAGGTGGTGAATGCGTTCCGCAGCTCCCTGCACGTGGGGCTGGAGAGCCCAGAGTCCCGTAGCTCCATCCACAGCTTCATGGCCCATCCTGAGTTCGTCCCGCAGTCGGAGGAGGAGGCTCGCATCCCCACAATCGAGGAGACCGGAGACGAGATCGACCCCCTCCCCAGCGCCTCCTCTTCTGGGGCGGGGGGGGAGGAGAGCCGC